CACTGCTCCCATGCAGGCCATATCAGAAGGGGAAACAGAAAACTCAGATGGAAGCCCACACGATGACCGTTCCTCCTGAAAAATGCATCTTGACTTTTAGAATCAGTTTAGACACAATCTTTGACATCAGGTCCATAATGCTAGGCACTTGGCATACTCAATTCTGTTCTTAAGAACTAAGAAGACCGTAAACAAAATACGTAGCGTCTGTACCATTTTGTATCAAGAAGAACAAAACATTCTAATAATGATTTTCAGTAGTGGTGTTCTAATAACTTCCATAAACATATTTATTTTATGTGAATACTGTGTTTGCGTACCTTCCATTTTAGAATGAGAGTGGAGAAAACTACATGATAAAAATCCATCACTTTGTAATTACTCACAGTGAATCAATTGCGGATGCTTTTTGTCACACACATTTAACATTGTCTAGAAAGATAAAAACAGTACTGTACTGGGGTAACTGTGAAAATGGGTCCAGATGGTATTAAAAGAAGGGAAATCTTTCTTGTACCTTACATACAAACTGTTTATGGCAGACAGCTTGGGACAATCAAAGAGTGGCCTTTTGTATAGTTAGCTGTAGCATAAATGGGCTAAGTGCTTTCGAGGTAGCCCGCAACTGGATCTTATTGGGCAAGAAATGTAGCTGTGTTGGATTATCCTGATGGCCAACCACTATTTTGCACTTCTTTTGGTACTGAAACATTGGTACTGGACATTTTAAAGAAATCTTACAAAAATGCCACAAAAGAAAAAGTGACATGAAAATAAATATCTATATAAAGAATATAAATTTAAAAAAATATGTATTTTTAATGAGATTAGCTTAAGAAGGTAATAGTCAAATTGTGTCCATATTTGGCATTTTTAAGATATTGAGCTGTTTAATGCACCATCTAATAATTTTAAAGCAATGCTGTAATTAATGACCACATGATTCTTCCCTTTCATTCAGTATTTATCTTTTTTAAGCAAATTTCTTTAAAAAAATCAACCCATTGTTTCTTTATCAATAAATTGATCTAAGAAAAATGATAACAGCTACAACACAGGCACTAAACGTATTCTGTGAATACTGTACCAATTGTTTCTAAAGCATATATATAATTCTGCTCTTTGTGAAGTGATTTTTTTGTTATTGATCACTGACCCACACAGCAGGACTAATACGGTGCAAGCGTTTTACAGCCAATTTGAAATTATGCCTCTACCGTAGTAGTTGTAGCTTTTCTATATTTCACTTTAATAGATCAAATTAACTGCATGCAATAAAACTTAAGAGAGGAGCCGATATTGGTACATCATGTTTAAGCGTATCAAGAAATTTGCCTCATCAGATTTCTAAGGCCATGAGCTGTTTTTTGTCAAAAATCTGATTGAAACACTCTTGACAATCTTTTTCAAAGACATTTATATGTAATAAACGGACTATGGCAGAATAATATTGTAGAAGGATAAGTAGAAGTTTTTAGAAGTGTGTAGTGGAAGTTTTGGTCAGGAGGCTTTTGCAGTTTGTGTTGCTTTGGGTTTGAATTTGCAATGTTGAGAGGCAATGAGGAAAGTTACAAGAAGGACTTAAAGCTTGGTATCATCCTTGAAACTGATGGAAAACATATTCCTTTCTCAATGCTGTTGCTGTTTGTAGCACAGACAGTAAAATATCCAAAGAAAGACTACAGAGGTGTAGAGTCACGTCAGACTGAGAGACAGAGCAAGTCTGCAGCAAGAAGGTTTGCGTCTTGATAAAGACTTTCTTTTGCTGGAGCAACAAATAAATCTGTGCGTATGAGGATGTGCTGAAAAGGATGCAAATCAAAGGAAAGAGGTTGTAAAAAAGGTTGCAAAGGACAGATGAAAAAACATGGACTTGCACTACTGTTTGGTTATCGTTAAGCTTTTTTAAAATCAGCTTCCAAGAGCCACCTCATGTTTTTCATTTTGGTACTAAAGCGAAAGGATTATTAGTATCTTGCTTTTATGAAATATTGGGCTTTGATACATTTATGACTGCAGATTTATTTATGGATTTATGGTCTTATGTTTTTCTTTTCAGAGGTTAAGCTTTAGTGGGTAAACACTGGTTTCAAAAGACAGTCGAATTTAATGCAGACAATAAAACCACTTATAAATAATATAAAAAATATGAATGGCATAAGCTACTCTGTTAATGATCCTTTGAAACCTAAAGGTGTCCAGTGGTGTATTTGGCATTTCTCTCCTTTGTACCATTGACCTTCTGGTGTGTTTGCAATTTACCTTGCTTGGTGAGATTTAGTCTTTGGATCAAGTATTTAAGCTGTCCTCAACTATTCGATCACTGACAACTAACTAGCTTTAGGTAAAGATGTTATACAAAGGGAAAAACACACATTTACAAATCTAAGCAATCTAAAAGTCGGCAAAGACTTTCACTATCCATCTTCAAAACAGAGGTAAACGATTTTGTAAGCTACCATTCCAACATTGTAAAGTCTAACCTTAAAATTTGCACTGATGTTTAGTATGTTTGAGAAGGTTTTCACATTGTCTATTGCTGTACCTAAGGCTATTTAAACAGGAATAGTTAACACATAGCAAAAGCAATTATGAATTGAAATCTCATATTGTTAAAGTTATAAAGCATGCTTGGTGAATGGTAACATGAAAGATTTGTGTACCAAAGGATTTCAGAGTCAGACAAACACTTGCTGTACTGAACACACACACACAGTTACGTGATGTCTCTTCTGGTACTAGACTGAAGTCTTCAAGCAACTAAAATGATTTTTTGTTGTTGTTGTTTTTTTTGTAAAAACTTGTAAATAGAATACCTTTTAAAATCGTTTCCAGGGTGTTTCTTATGTAAAATGTTTTCAAAGTTTACATTAATTATAAGCCTTTGTATATTTTTGATCTGTGCAACACTTTTGAGTCTTGTATTTATTTTTTAGTAATCTTTGTGGAAAGTCCCATTGTAAAATGTCTCTAAAATCGTTTGCCAGCTTGTCTGGCTGTTTAGTAAATGTGCATAGAAGAGGCCAATAAATGTGACTGCTTTAAACACGTAAACGCCTGTCTATGTAAATGTTCGATTATAAAGATAGGTGATAATGCTGAACTGGGCTGAAGTATGGTCAATTGTACCACATTTTAAGTCATATATTTATATAAAGCTCAAGGATGCAATGGTTTAAGTCTTATAACCAGCTAGATGCTGTGGTTTTGATTAATTAGTTAACTGAGAGCCACCAATGATGACATTTATCAAAATGTATTGATTGGCATAGATCTACAAGCAGAGGCTACGTAGGATAAGTACCTTGAAAAGCATCATGCTTGTATTGCGTAGATTAGGTCAAACACATTTTGCCCTCAAACTAAAATACTGAAGCCACAGTGCAGTTGTCAGTGTTTTAAAGGGGTCCTATTATGCTGTTTTACAATGTTTTGAATTTGTTTTGGGGGTGTACTAGAACATGCCCTTATGCGTGGTGGTTCGAAAAACGCATTATTTTTTTACATAATTTACATTATTACAATACCTTTCTCCCCATCCTGGCACAAACAGCTCGATTAGTTCCAGGTTTGATGAAGGCCCGCCTTCCGAAAAAACGAAATGTGATTTATCAAAATGTATTGATTGGCATAGATCTACAAGCAGAGGCTACGTAGGATAAGTACCTTGAAAAGCATCATGCTTGTATTGCGTAGATTAGGTCAAACACATTTTGCCCTCAAACTAAAATACTGAAGCCACAGTGCAGTTGTCAGTGTTTTAAAGGGGTCCTATTATGCTGTTTTACAATGTTTTGAATTTGTTTTGGGGGTGTACTAGAACATGCTCTTATGCGTGGTGGTTCGAAAAACGCATTATTTTTTTACATAATTTACATTATTACAATACCTTTCTCCCCATCCTGGCACAAACAGCTCGATTAGTTCCAGGTTTGATGAAGGCCCGCCTTCCGAAAAAACGAAATGTGATGTGATTGGTTAGCTGTCCCAGTGCGTTGTGATTGGCGAACAGTTTAGACGGTGTTTCAGTACTGCCCCGCCCCTTGCCAAAGCAGCAAGTTCCGTCTGTTTAGTCAAGGATGGCGTCAATATTGCCATATCAGTTTGAGCCGGATTCAGACCCCGAGGATATTGAACAAGAGGATCGCGTAGAACCTTTGCATGCACGTATATTGCAAGACATATTAGAGTGGTAAAGTTTTTTTCTGGCTAAATCACGTTTTAGATAGGATGTGACCAACCGCTGTACAGATAAGTGCATATGTATTATTTTTATTGTTATTTAATTCTAACATTATAACATGAATTGCAGTGAAACTGTTATACAGTTGAATTTATGCATACCATAGTCCAGTGTTTTCCAGGTGGCACATATATGCAAACTCATTCTCTGGCAGCAGGAGGCGCTGTTGGAGCAGTAGAGATCGAGGTTACAGTGATATAAAAACACCCGCACTCAATGTATAGGAAACACTGTAGTCTCATAATTGAAGTGTAAATTCTGCAGATTACATCATTGTCCAGTATTGCACTGTCAGCAATTTATTATAAAAACGTTTCATAATTGTAACACATATTTGCATACATAATTATTCAGGTGCATGTGTAATAACTTGCGAAAACTTGAGGCTACAGCAGCACTTTTTCTTCGTCGTCGTCTTGTCTGATGCACCACGACATCGCCCCTCCCCACCCCCCAACTATTCGAATTACCGTAGGCGGGAATTATTTTAATGATATTCTAATGGGCCGCTTTGTGACATCACAAAACCCGGAAAACAAACGCTGTAGTCCAAACGAGCCGTTCGTTGTAGTTCTTGAAAAGGGATTTTTTTTTTTACGAAATATCTCCCTTTGGAGTGGACTTTGAGATTTGTACGTTTGTAGATCTTTTTTATGCCCAAACGTACACACTGACTAAAATTCAAAAAGTGAAAAAGCATAATAGGACCCCTTTAAGAATGTAGATGTTTGCACTGATTAGATGAAGTGAAGATTATTCAGTGATCTTTGACCAGGATGTTTGCGACTCCATGCACCTGAGTGAGCTGAGGACAGTCAAGTGTTGCTAGAAGCTTCTGTGGGCCGGACCGTTTGGGGACAACTGTCTCTGTCAGACACTTTGAGGCTTGGTCTGCAATATCACTGAAAGAAAGTATGAAAAAAAAGTTATTTCAAAAATATAAATGTAAAAGTTAAATGTATTAGTATTACGAAAAACAGTTTGACTCAGTCATTGCAAATGGATGTCTTACCCATAGTGAATGGTTTTGACGTGCTGCATTCCCAATCCTTCAATCCGGAATATGACGTTCTTCAGCACACAGGGCAGTGGGTTCTGGAACTTGATTTTGACTTTCAGCTCTCTGCCCAGCACAGCATCACATACAGGCTAAGAGAGAAAATAACACACAACACAAGTCACATTAATGCAATATTTTGCCACGATGGATATTATCATGTGTAATCTCAATATACAGCGAGTCATTTGAACTCACAGTGATAATGAGGTCTGGTGTGCGCAGCCTGAAGCTGAACTGTTTGGCCAGAGTTTGTCTAGTCTCAGTGACCTGTCCAGAGAGCGTGAGCATCAGCGCTCCATGACCCACCAGATGGTCCTTATAGTCCTCATACTGCAGCGTCCACTCCAGAGACTGGACTATAAAGCCAAAAGATTCATACTACATTAGTCTAAATACATTATGACACATATAAATTTGAAATGTACAGAAGTACGTTTTTCCATCTAGTTTTCATCTAGATTCTATTCATTTTTATTGATTTTTTTATTTATTACAATCTGACTTACCAAATTAAATGAAATTAAAATAGAATAAAATTGTTTTAGTCTTTGCAAATATACACCATACCAGTATTATTTATATATTATTATAATATTTACTAATATTTTAAATTAGCATTATTTTTTTATATATATCTATTATATAATTTATTTATTTTTTTACTATTTTTTTACACTTTTAGTTGCAAGCAATTCTAATTTTCATTTATGTCTGTAAAGTTCAAGTTTTTAATCTAATATTTATGTTTTATTAACAACTACTCTCGCTCTCTCTCTCTCTCTCTCTCTCTCTCTCTCGCACACACACACACAATGCGCAAAACTCCGCATTTGAACAGTCAATAGCACATAATTAAACTAATAACAAAACAGCAGCTGATTCAGAAGCTCCAGATTGTCAAATTACCTCCTCTCCTAGGTTCACGAAACGGTCGTCCATAAAGTGCATTGCTGTAAATCGCATCATATGACCCCTTTAAATTTGAAATAATTAAGTTAACCAAGGCATGGCTTTAAGCAGTTAATTTCCTTGATGAATAATTTTCGTCAATGACATTTTTTTTCGCCGACGACAACGAGATAACGAACTAAAGCTCTTTTTGAATTACAAAAACTATGAATTAAATCTATTGACATTTTCGTCAACGAATAAAAACGAGACGAAAATGTTAGGGAGGGACGAATTGGGAAGAGATTCATTCAGAACGAATCTGCTGCGTGGTTCGGAGGTTAGATGCGTACATATAAACTGGCGGGACATAATACACACACACAGAAAGCGCGTCTCACAGCGTGCGCATGAACGGAGAATTGCACACAAAATTATGTCGAATTGTCCATTTGACGAGTATTCACGTAAACACAGTTGATTAGGTCTTAAGTGAACGTAAACAGTAGGGAGAACGTGTATCAGTACAAATTTTAACATAAAGGCATGTTGTGTGTCACCGCAGTTAAATCGGTGTCTATCATTATAAAACCTTAATATCAAACCTATATAATGAGTTTGGAAATTTTAGAGAAATGCTTAATAAATGCATTACACTGTAACTAAACCTGTTAGATTTTAGCCGACTAAATTTACTGTAGATTTAGTCGACTAAAATCTTATGATATTTAGTCGACTAAAACTAAAAACAATTCAGATGACTAAAATATGACTAAAACTAAATGGCATTTTAGTCAAAAGACTATGACTAAAACTAAATCAAAATTTGCTGTCAAAATTAACACTGCAGTTAAGTTTGTATGTTTTCAATTTTGATGTACAGCATATTTTAATTGTCCTATATAAATTAATTTGACATTGAAAGACTTAAAATAAAAATAAAATAAAATAAATAACAAAATAAAAGCTTAATGTGTGGTTTATATATTTGGATACCAGCTCCTCAGTATTTGGATTAAACCTCCCACAAATGCATCTTGCTATTATATTAATATTGTGAGAAAAAAACATATATATATATAGTCTTCAAGTGACAATGTCAGCAAAATTTTAACCAGTAATTATTTACATTCAAAATAATCTGTATTTTTTTAAATGAAGCTTTTCAAAAGTATGTAAATGTTTCTGTCATGTGTAAGTGAAAATATCTTAACTGACACAAGATTTCATGAGGATTTTCACCTTCTGCATATTTGTAGAGGTGCGTAATGTCTACACGTTCATCTGAGCTGACAGCTTTCGTGCTGATGGAGTGACCTACAGCACTCTTGTCAACCCGAATCACAGCGAAGGTCCCGTTATTTTTGCGCTGCCAGTAGACTTTATCGCTGTTCACCTACAAATAAAAAGAACCAAATATTTAGTACTAACACCTACCATATTATAAATCTATAAATCTATGTAGTGAAATTATTTGTGATGAATTAGCATACTTCAGCAAAAACAAAAGGTGTGTCATATTTGAGGTAGACCTGTCCGCTGCGGATCGCAGCAACAGAGGTGGGGCCGCAGCGGAAGATGCCCTGGCTGGTTTCCTGAGGAGTCGCATCAATAACCTGCCAACCTCCGAAACCAGATGGCAGGTCCGGCCGAGTCATCCAGGCCTCATTCCACACGTGGTAGTTCCTATATAGAGAAAAGCAGAAACTTTGAATATTAAACAAAAATTATTAAAACAACAATGAAGCCACAACTTATCTGATATCACAAATGCTTCCTTAAGTGTCCTGCACTTCCATATTATAGAAAAAGGACAATTAACGCTAATGTTACATGAATCAGGGTTATAACCTAAAACTAAATTATTCACTAAAAAAAAATATTAAAAATAGTTTTGTTACTTGAAATAAAGAAAAAATTAACGGACATAAAATAAACATGTAGTACATGTCAGTAGATAACATGTTTTTGTTCATTTAAAATCTGGCCATCATTTTTAAAGTTTTTATTTCAATGTTTATGCAAACAAACCATGCAAAGTGCTGCTATTTGTTGGTTTTCTACATAAAACTTGGTGAAATGATTTCAGTGTGTGTATCGGTACTTTTTGAACATTTTCAGCACATTTTAACAATACTGTGTATAACAGTTTGGATTGATACATTATTTAAGAGTATAACATGGGTAGCTCTCTGCTACTTTCATTTTTAAAAAGTAGCTTTCAAAGGAAATAAGGTTAGAGGTACTTACATATACTATATACATGCTTATTTACACAAGAAGAAATTAAATAAGTAGAATTAAATAAAAACTTAATGTAATATACATTCAGAAAAACTAATTAAGTAGAATTAAAGTAGAAAAACTTAAAAGTAATATACATCTAGATGGCGTAAGCAGAAAGCTTAGTGAACAGATGTTCACATTAAGTATGCTTAATAGGCCTATACTATATAAAAAATAATATGCATTTTTACCATGATGATTAGGCTATTCTATTTTATATACAAGATAAAAAATATAGCCTATATATTTTATTTAAAGGGGTCATATGATTTAAAGATCATTATTTTGTGTATTTGGTGTAACAGAATATGTTGACATGCTTTAATGTTCAAAACAACACATTATTTTTCAAATACTGTACATTATTGTAGGTCCTCTATGCCTCGCCTCTCTCAAACATGTCATTTTCATCAAAGCCCCCTCATTTGACAAGCGCAGTCTGCTCTGATTGGCCAGCTGACCCAGTGCATTGTGATTGGCCGAACACCACAAGCACACGTCAGAAATTTTACGCCCCTTACCATAATCGCGAGCGTCAGCTTTCAAAGTAAATATCAAGACAGTTAATAATGTAGTTAATTTTACCATCAGTTCAAGTCCGAAAGGGCAACAGTCGCGTGACAGACACAGTGATGATGCAGTACACAAGCCGCAGTTAAGACTTCTGACAGACAGTTCACTCTCCTGTGATGTGACCCTGTTCCCCTCACACACACACACGACGCATTACTCTGCGTTGCGTAAAACTCCGCATTTAAACAGTCAATAGGAAATACTTAAACTAATAACAAAACATACTTACAGTCGCTGATTCAGAAGCACCAGATTGTCATAGCAAAGTCTGAATTTTTTTAGAAATGGTCTTCGTGCACAGCTAGCCTTGTACTGAGCTTGTAACACTCCAAAGAGAAAGAAACTTGAAATCGCATCATATGACCCCTTTAAACTAGATGGCAACTTTTCTTACATCCATGCTGTTTAATTTGATGTAATAACTAAAATTAACAGAAAAATAATAAAAACTAATAAAAATTACAAAACACAACAAAATGACAGAAACTTCAAAATGAAAATGACAGAAAATGTCAAACGAATTCTTAATATTACCGTAATAAGCTAAAATGGAATCTGAGAGATAGTAAAATAAGACTGTCAAGACTCTTACCAGACTGAATCACGGGTAAGGTGTTTAATCTCTTCAAAATTATCGTCTAAATAAACATCTGTAGTCAAGGAAGCATCAGTGTCGTGAGCAGAACTGAAGTTTGAGACTGGACGAGTGGGAATGCCGAAACACCGCAACACTGTAAGGACAAAAAGAGAGAAACATCAACAAAATGCGGCAGATTTCATTCCCAACCTCTCTGGTCCTGCTTCCATTTGGCATAAAAATGCCATCTAGATGTCCATACGCATAGAAAAGACAAGTGTAATCTCGTGTGTGAACAGAATTCGCTCTAGCCTGATACCACAAAGAAACCCTTGGATTTCACTTCAATATATCACGAAGAAAATCCTACTAATGAAGCGTTCTACAATGAATATCTGATTTACGTCGTGTCTAGTTTATTCATTATAACAGAGGTATTTACGAAAGTAGAATGCACTGAGTGCGCGGTGGACAATTTATTAAACTCCGATATTCACCTTATATTTCGCTTAAAGGGGACATAACACACACAGTTTCACCCAATCTCATGTTGATCTTGAGTACCTATAGAGTAGTATAGCATCGTTCATAGCTCCAAAGAGTCTTTAGTTTTATCATATTTATAAAGGAAAAATACAGCTTTTCGATTCCGAAAACAGCCGAGCTCCTGGAGGTGTGCCGTGGACGGAGCTAACGAGTGACGAGCACTTGCCAGATTGCCAACAAAACACAGACATTTGATGCTGTTTCACTTGCCGTCTGCAGTTCTGAATCATGACCGGGATCTTTTATAGCTGGGACCGCTCTATCTTTCAGTATCAAATGATGTGCAAATCCAGCGCCGAACTGGGCCTTGTTTATAAAACGTTTGTCGACAAACACACTTGCAAAACTCCGTTGTTGCCCCGGAAAAAAAACTAACTGCATCCACTGTTCACGTAATGCTGGGTTCCTTGGTAAGCTGAACAAGGTTATCTTTCCCTTACAGCCAAAAACACACTTCTTTGGAGACATTCTTCTCGAGCGAGTCCTGTTCAGTGCAGCCGAATGAAGCACGTTGATGGGTGCGCTCTTGCTCTCGCTCTGGTCGATGTGTGCGCGGGCACGCTCTTCCGGGAGAAATGCCCATACAAGGAGTTCCCCCCTTCATTACATCACGAAGAGCCAAGCTCCAAAAAAAAAAAACTCACCGAAACTTGTACAAAACCGGAAGGAGTATATTTGACACAGAAATACTCTGTTCTACATTTATATAGTTTTTTGAAACTTTGGGATTATTTGAAATCTCACACATTTATATAAAACTATATATGCTACTTCTGCGGCTTTTCTCTATTCGCAGCAGCTGTAATCATAATCACGATTTTTTTACTATTAATTGTGCAGTGCTAATTTAAATATTATGTGGGGGAAATTAACTTGAGTATCTTACTTGTGTTGGTGACTCCAGCAAAGACCCAGCACTGCCCATATTTGACAGTTACTCCTCCACTGCCGTGGTACTGTTTCAAGATGGCACTGCTGCCGCTCCAAACTGTAGGAGAAACTCCCCCCTCACAGGTCTTTTTCCAGTTACCCATCAGCACTCCTTGATCATCGTTGGAATTAACCTGAAACATTGACAATATTATGTCATCTGCTTCACATCATCACGATGACTAATTTTCAGACTTTGTCAGACATTCACAACAGCAGAGCATGGATAAATCTGGATGCAGGTAAAAAGAGCATAAAGTCTCACCATGGCAGATACCACTCTGACTACATTAACAGGATCTCCCCATCCTGAGCAAGGGCTGCCACTCTTCTCCAACACAAAGAAACACGCAGCCAAGACTCCTTCATCAAACTAAGAATCACAGATCAGAAGTTGGAAAGATTGAAACAAGCACATACAGAAAATTAAAAATAAATCCTAATTGACAAGTTTCGATTCCCAGAATGATCTAGGAATATATTTTTGGATCTCAGAACATTGTGCATGATGGTTCCCTTTACCTCTAAAGTCTGAGAACCTTTTTGCAACCATGTTTCAACATTACATCAATAATCAGCTGACAAGTCGTGTCTTGTATTGATCCACTGATAGACTGATTAACATTTACACATTTATTCAAAGCAGCTTACATTTCAGACTATACATTTTAGCAGTTCGTACATTCTCGGGGAATCAAACACATGATGAACATTCCCAGAATGATGATGATAATTCTCAAAAAATAACCGACCGATATCTGGAAGCATACATTTTACTAAAATATTAAAACAACTATTGAATACATTTAAACACACTTCTGTGTTTGATTTTTACCTGTCCAAAATTCCAGGTTCTGGTACCAATCTGTTGCTCAGTTCCATAGTAGAGTTTGCCCATTTCATTTAGTACATACTCAGTTCTCTCCGTCTCATCATTCATGCACACAGAGTCATCTGATGAGAGCAGAAAGAGAGAAAGCTTAAATTTTATTTTCATTATTCAGTGATAGACACCCAGAGTGTCCTCTTATTTTCTCCCTTTTCAGATAATACCTTTGCACCAAGGGTTGAACAGCACGTAAATGTCATTTTCAGGAGTGTCTGGTGAAGTGGCCTTTCCCGCTGGGCAGTTTGTTACTACATTGAGTTTGTACCGTCCAATACAAGAGGTTGGAAGGGAATAAACCGCCAGTCTGATTGTGGTTTTTGCCTGTTCAACAATTTTTGCCTCCCAGGCTTCTTTCCTGAATTCCGACACCAGTGGTACAATCACAAAACTGTCCTTGTGTACTGGTAAGACATTTCCTGCAAAACACACATACAAAAGCATGTACATTTTTCATCAGATAATCAGAGATGGCTGGTGTGGCAGGTGTAAACAGGATTGTGCTGGAGAACAAGATCACAACATCAAGGACAGTAAAGCCATGACTGACCAAGTCTCAGCTCCAGGTGAAGTTGGTCTCTGTTTGGAACAAAGGTTCGAGAGAGCTCAACAGACATCTGGAAACATTGTCCTCTACGGACAATCAGATGATTGCTAAAGAAACCATCTGTGTGATGCTCCTGTCGATTCTGTCCTTTACTGGCCCTGATCAGATCAATAGAACGTACCTGCAGTACAGCACCTAAAAATCAGCCATATAAGGAAAGTTTATTATGACAAACTGAAAAAAAAAACATTAAGATTTCAAGCTAATTTAGGCATTAAGTGTTGACAAATCAGTCTCTATGCTGGTTTCGGGTTCATGTGCCCCTGATCAGATGTTTCCTAGAATGCATTTAAATGTATTTAAAAAGACAGAGTGAGATAGAGTGCAACCATTGTGAAACATAAAAACACTGTACAAAGACTGTCGGTTGGTGGATGTAGGTACAGTTCAAATATTTTGTTGTTTTTTATAACAGTACAAACTTATTTTACAATACTACAATAACAGTATATCAGCTTTGTCAGCGTTAAATAATGGCGATCAGACCTTGTTAATATGTACTATTGAGATGTATTGCTCTTACCGTTAACTTCTACTTGTGGATTCCTGAGAGAAAAAGAGAGAATATTATTGAAACTTTCTACTAAACAAAGCTTACCGTTTTTTAAAATTATGAATTTAAGTGCAGTTTTCACATCAAAGATGTACGTTTTCAAAACTCAAAATCCAAACTGATCACACTTGTGACACTGCTAGTCAATCTTTCAATATCAGATCTCATGCTTTCATTACAGTAACATATATTTTCAGTCCACATAATCATTCATTCAAAACACGATTTTTGTAACATGTAATGAGAACATTTGGTTTGATCACTGAATAACAACACTATCATCTTCTTTCTGTTTAGTAGCCTACTTTTAACAATCAGTTACTTAAACAGCGATGCAAGATACTATACCATATAATTGAGTGTATGCTGTAGTTTCACTCTTTAGGGTCACTAACAGTAATTTGTTTTGCAGTAATTGCAGTTGAAAACACTTAGATTGAAATAGGTGAATTTTTGGTGATGGATGGATGGATGGATGGATGGATGGATGGATAGATAGATACTTACATTTAAATGTATTTAAAAAGACAGAGTGAGATAGAGTGCAACCATTGTGAAACATAAAAACACTGTACAAAGACTGTCGGTTGGTGGATGTAGGTACAGTTCAAATATTTTGTTGTTTTTTATAACAGTACAAACTTATTTTACAATACTACAATAACAGTATATCAGCTTTGTCAGCGTTAAATAATGGCGATCAGACCTTGTTAATATGTACTATTGAGATGTATTGCTCTTACCGTTAACTTCTACTTGTGGATTCCTGAGAGAAAAAGAGAGAATATTATTGAAACTTTCTACTAAACAAAGCTTACCGTTTTTTAAAATTATGAATTTAAGTGCAGTTTTCACATCAAAGATGTACGTTTTCAAAACTCAAAATCCAAACTGATCACACTTGTGACACTGCTAGTCAATCTTTCAATATCAGATCTCATGCTTTCATTACAGTAACATATATTTTCAGTCCACATAATCATTCATTCAAAACACGATTTTTGTAACATGTAATGAGAACATTTGGTTTGATCACTGAATAACAACACTATCATCTTCTTTCTGTTTAGTAGCCTACTTTTAACAATCAGTTACTTAAACAGCGATGCAAGATACTATACCATATAATTGAGTGTATGCTGTAGTTTCACTCTTTAGGGTCACTAACAGTAATTTGTTTTGCAGTAATTGCAGTTGAAAACACTTAGATTGAAATAGGTGAATTTTTGGGGATGGATGGATGGATGGATGGATGGATGGATGGATGGATGGATGGATGGATGGATGGATGGATGGATGGATGGATGGATAGATAGATAGATAGATACTTACATGTTTGCAGTTCTTGTTCCTGAATGTATCTGAAGAGTGTTTGTTCCTGTTTGTTAACAGAGTAACTGCACCAAAACAACTTGAACTCAAGTCTGGAAGTAATTCTATGATGCTTCTCTCTTGAGCAGCCATGGTGTATATATTCACATTTTAATCTCCACCCCATCCACAGCTCAGAGCTCAAAAGTGTCCCTGCCTGTTATACCACGTCTCTTTAATAAAAGCTTGCAGATGGATCCACACGTCTCACATCTCGTCAGCCCCGTTACAGCTGTATGTTGTCTCCTTGAGGTTTGTGTAGCCCTACCTAAAAACACTGTAATACTGACCATGAAAATAAAAAGATCTAATCACACTGTAAAAACTGTGTATAAATTATAATTAACTAAAACTAAAACCATAAAAAAACAGCTAGTTGTTAGGGTAACATTTATCTTGATGTACTAAAGTAACTAAAACAAATAAAAATAAAAATAATAAAAACACACAATGTACTAAACCTTTAACTAAAATTAAAATGAAAACAAAAAACATTATAAAAAATAGTATACAAAAATATAATGGTATCTATAATGGTACCACATACACTGGTATAAATAGAGCTATTTTTAAATACATCACTCTTGTGCTTTAATGTAATTATTTATATGAATTATAACATCATCGCATGGTAATTTATAAATTGTGTAAGCTATAGTAATATATCAGGAATTTTTGTTCAGTCAGAAAACATTCTATCAGCCAGTCAGGCACACTGTCATCATCATTCCACCAGTCCTAACACTCGTTTCTTTCCCTGCACAGGAACAAGAAATGAATATGGAATGTGCAGGAATGTGAATGATTCAGGCCTGTGGTAAAACTGCTAATGACTTACATGCTGAACAAAAGATATCACTAACACAATAACTTGTTTAACTAGAGGCACTAAATCACCACGTTCTGCATATAAGTATTATAATGACATAGCTTTTTACATTTTGACAAGACATGTCAGTGCTGGTTTTAAAATGACATGTATTAAGCATAATTTTGTCTTGTGATGATATCGTTATAATGGTATAAGCAGGTATTATGTGAATATATAAGAGAACATTTATACTAAACAAGATTTGTATCTATCTGAAGAAAATGTGAGTCATGCTTGTCCATGCAAAAGTTACCATTATTCTAGAAATATTGCCAGGGCATTGCTGTGTTTGCTAAGGTTTTTTTTCTTCTTCTGTTTTTCACAATTTAGAGTCGTCTCTTATGCTTACAGAATTTGAAATATCATTCATGTATGTCGCACATAAATGGTACAAAGCATAGCCAGAAATGATAGGCGACCTCCTCCATATACTCAAGTGACAACTCATGATAGTGTACATGACTTTGAATGTTTTTTTTGTTTGTTTTTTTAAAGGACACCTTTTAGGCCCAACAGAGTAGGGGTGGGTGATATGGCAAAAATGTGTACCACAATTTTTTTCAAGGATACTGATCCACATTCTCATTATGACTCTTTTGCTTTTTTGTTTTTTAGGACTATTTTGCAAGTTATGCAGGGGACACATTAAAAGATTTTTAAAATCTTATAAGATCTTCAAAATGTGAGAGACCACAAACATGAGGACAAAAAAATCCAACCGTTTTGTTTCTATAGTGTGTGGTGTGCCGCGATGTTCCCCCCACACATCAGGATTTCGGATCGCAAATATTCAACATGTTTGCGCCTCCGACGTTCTTCTGAGCAGATTCAGTCACTCTTAACACACCTCACACCACAGGAAAATCTGATAAGATCATCTTTAGAACCACCAAGATAATCGGGACATTACCTAGGATTGTCGGAAGGGGAGAAATCAGCCCAAAATCAGCCCGATTATCTTGTGGTGTGTACCCAGCATTACCGAGCAGTAAAAACCAGTAAGCCCAACAACTAATATACAAATAATATTGAATAAAAATATATGCAACTAATATTGAGGAATAGTAAATAGGTCAAATCTAAACAAAATACATATAGAAACAGAACTAATATATACAAAAGAACAAAAATACAAATTATGTAAATCAAGTGTAAAATACAACACTGTATGAATAAAAATACAAATTAATTTTTATTAAAGCTACAAAAATGATTTGGTCAAGGGTGATTTTTGTTTTTTTTGCTTTTCTTTTGTTGCTTGATTAACATTAATGACACAGACAGCAGCAGCAGGTATATTAGGCTGCTATTACTTTAAGACCTAACTGAAGGATCTAATATACTGACAGGCATCCTGTTTTTCATCTTATTAAGACATAACCAAACATTGTTATGTGAATATACGTTTTTTACGTAGTTTATAAGGCTACAGATTATTCGTAAAGTATTTTTAACCTCAATATTGTAATCAGGACTATACATTGCAGTTTATATAATTCACATTAAAGGGGACATTGGATGAAATTTTCACTTTTTTGCATTTAGTTAGATTTATGGCATGTCTGCCTGCTCAGAAAAGCTGAAAAGAAAACACAGCCAGTTTGTTATGTACTGCGTGAATCTATAACTGTGTCATCCAGTGAGTTGTTTCAATTTGCAGCAGGTTCCTATGTAGATAGCTAGCTATTTGAATAAGACCACCTCTGAGTCATATACAGATATATTCACATGTCTGTATCAACACGCCCCATGGAAGAGAGGGGTGGGGCGAGCAGTAGCTCATTATCATTTAAAGCAGTGATCCTCAAATCTGGCTCGCGAGATCCACTTTCCTGCAGAGTTTAGCTCAACCCTAATCAAACACACCTGAGTTTGCTAATCAATGTCTTCAGGATCATTATAAAAACACAGGTTTGTTTGATTATAGGGTTGGAGCTAAACTCTGCAGGAAAGTGGATCTCGCGAGCCAGATTTGAGGATCACTGATTTAAAGAGGCACCGAAATGAGTCGCTCTTAACAGAGCTGTTTTTGACAAGGTAAAGAGGGTGTTGTTTTACATGACCATTGAGGAATTTTAACCAAAGTATGTTACAGACATTTCATGAAGACCCTAAAGAATCACAGCAACTTGTGGAAAATGGGCGTCCGATGTCCCCTTTAATATGTGTTTTGTGTGGTGCAACTGTATCTCATACTCTTTATATCCAAAACATGCTGGGAACTGTTTCTGAATTATTTTATTAAAAGTAAATATACTTGACAATACTCCCTTTATAATCACTGAACCTGTCACTCATGGACTCTCACAAATACACCCCTTATAACCAATCAAGCTGTAATTACACAGCATTTTCAGATTCACAGCATCTGAAGCTGCAATCTTAATTATTTTTTATTTATTGTGAAAACCCAATGCTGAATAGTGCGATTGGGAAGTGAGTCTATAAAGATATTGACACCCAACCTACACTAGAAGCATCCAGCACATCACAAAACCATTGCCATTTAGACAATGTTATCTGTACACTACAATGTTTATTTGTTTTTGAGTCTTCAAGTAAAGTGTATGTAGCCTAACTATTGGATGTGAAATACAGGTTATTTATCTAATTCACAATTATTCTTACACATTTTGTTTTCATTTTTTTCCCGTCAGGTAGACAGGTTGCTATATAATGTTGTTTTAGTGTTTAATATCTATGCAAGAACACCATATTATAGTCAAGCATTACAGAAGTATTGATTTTTCAATCATTATTCAAACACTTGCCATTATTGGAGGGGAGACAATAATGCTTATAATAACACATCATAATAACTGACATTAACTACAATGATTATAAATTAAAAAGTTGACACAGATATTTATTAAACACAAAGCTTCAAATAATAAAGCTTAATAATCTGGCATGTGATAAAGTGTGA